GCCCATGTTTCTCTTTTGCAAAAGTAATACTGCGTAGTTTGTCTGGGCTGAGGCCATTCATGCAGTTAGTAACTGCAGACTAACTGCAGGGGGGGGGGGGAAGTGCGTATATTGGAATTTGTCCTGGGGCTTAATATTTTTTGACAATCTAATGATGCTCCCATATAAAATATAAGTTTTAAATAGGATAGAAATATTAAAAATATTGAATATGTATAAAATTTTTGAAACAAACGGTGGAAACTCTGATTCTCAAGGTCAATTTAAAGTCAAAGCTACGCAGCAGTGAAAACAATAAAAAGAATCAAACTGAAAGTTGTACTAAGTTCTAAACATATACATGTTAGATATAAAGTTTTTTTTATATTTCGTATTATTTGCTTTAAGCAGAAAAAAGAACGGAATTCGCCGTTATTTTGAAACACATCTGTTAATGTTTTTGTGTAAGTGTGAACATTTTGTTTGATTGAGAACAATTCAAAGATTAAGTTTTTTTCCCGTTAATTAATGGATTCTTCCGTTAATTAATGGATTCTTCCGTTAATTAATGGATTCTTCCGTTAATTAATGTATTCTTCCGTTAATTAATGGATTCTTCCGTTAATTTACTAAAGCTTTCGTTTGGTTAACGGAACATTGCCCAGCCCCACACCTACGCCCTAGAAAAAAGAAGAAATGGTATTTATTTACTTTATTTAATATAATCCTAATTTAAAAGTGCTAAGTGTAAGATAATTTTATAAAAAGCTATAGATAACTCAACTTTTAAAAATTCCAGGGTTGGCTCAGTCATTCTAGTCATTGTTTCAGTTTTTCATGATTACTTAATCTCCATTTAATAAAGAATCTTAGTCGAATTTCACACATTATGAGAAAATACTCTAAAGAAAATTTCGCGGTTTTTACGTTTTTTGTTTTGTTAAGCAAGATTTTGTTTTGTTAAGCAAGACTTTGTTTAGTTAAGCAAGATTTTGTTTTGTTAAGCAAGATTTTGTTTTGTTAAGCAAGATTTTGTTTTGTTAAGCAAGATTTTGTTTTGTTAGATGTCCCAGTTTTTCTTTTTAATCTTGGAATCAATCACTAATCTCCATCTTATATAATTTGATCCCTCTCTGATATTCCATAATTGAGAGATTAAGAATGGATCACAATGGATTCACCTGGCCAAGCGTTTAAGATTAACGATTCTCTACACAAAGTCTTTACCTGTGAACTACCTGTGAACTACCTGTGATGAGTTTTTGTAAAATCAAAAACTTTGTGTTGATTTTTCAGTTAAGTTGAATCAGAAACATATTGCTCAAGAAAACATCTTTTTTACAGTTTTTACTGACATCGAAAAAAAATGTGTAAACTATTTACTGACAGTTTACATGAGTTTTGAGTAATGCTAAACATTTTATTTTAAGAGAAAAAGATTAAAAATAAACATTTTAATTTTAATATTCTATTTTAAGTTTTATATTTTTCTTTCACATCGGAAAGCATTTTGATTCCATCAAAATCATCGAATTGGAAAGCATTTTGATTTTTGATTCCATCAAATCATCAAAATCATCAAATATGTAAAAAAATTACTTAAAAATTCAAACAATATTGTATCAAATGTTTCAAATGACTTTCAAATCATAAACCATATTAACCCTTTCACGGCTAGGCGCTAGGGGGGGGACTGTGGTTTTTCTAAATAACTTTAAAACGGCTTACATTAGAACATCATGGTTGTGAACAAATTTTGCAGAGTTTTTTATGCAAAAGGTAGAGTGGAGGACTGTCAAACAGCAGATCAGTGTTTAATTAGTTAAGCTAATTAAGCTACAGGGTTAAAATTTATATATTTGAAAAGCCCTTTAAAAATGTATGTAATAGAATGTTTCACATGTTAATATTTATCAAAATTTAAATAATTAATTTTGAACATTTTTCCAACGTAATTTATGAAATTTTTTCAAATCTTCCGTATGCACCCTAACCATTAAAGTTAGAGGTTAGACTAAGCTTGCAAAATTGGACTAATTGGACATCACACTTCCCTATCTCAACTCTCAGAGAAAAATCAAAGGGGGGTGGAAAACACACCCCCTCCCCCCAAGCCTGTATTAGACAAAAATAACCCAGCCAGGATAGGGTTAAGGAAAACTCTATATATTGCTAACATTGAAAAAGGGAAAATGAACCCAAACTTTTTTTTCTTAAAAGAGGTGCGTGCGTATAACAGGTCAAATTGTAGACGAGATTACTGGTACAATTTTGTGACCTCATATTATTTATATTTATATTCTCATATTATTGTCCAGTATACGCACAAGTATTTATATTCTCATATTATTGTCGAGTATACGCACAAGTATTTATATTCTCGATCCTTTCCAAGCTTTAGCTAAACACCATTCATTTTATGAAATAGTTAATTTTACAACAAACAATTATAATATTTTTCTTTCAATCTTTATTTCTAATTACAGTTTATAGAAATTTATCATGGAAAATAAATCCAGCTTATAATCATTATCATTATTATTATTATTATTATTATTATTATTATTATTATTATTATTATTATTATTATTATTATTATTATTATTTAAATTTGTTTTTGATTATATATTTGATTTTATGTCTTTTAAGATTTTACATATTACATTCACATTAGTATTACATAACTATTCGAGATTTTCTGGAAAAAAACTGATCTTTAGATCTTTAAATATTACGAATTTATAACTGGCTGTAACCGAAAATTCACCTCTTTCCAGAAATAACCAGTTCTTAGGTTTTTTTTTACTTTTTTACGGTCTTGATTATGACTATAGGTTTTTGAAATTTACATGAATATGTAATGTAATGTCTTGAAGGCGGTGTCCACTGTGATTTTGTCCGGCTACATTTGTTGCAAAAAACGTGCCAGGTCGACTCTGCACTGGGTAGCCTGACTGGACAGTACAACGGACTGTATATACAGAATGTATTGTACCGGCACGGATCAAGCAACTTTTAGACTGGGGTGTGTTGTTTAAAACTGGCTGCAGTAACTGGAAGATTTCGACCATCTGGTATAATTGGTTTTTAAAATCTTTTATCATTCTACATAAACATGTAAGTCGTGTTGTTTATAACTGCAGTTGTAGCCGGAAATTTTCGTCTATTCGGTAATAACCGGTTTTAAGATCTTTTGCATTCTACATAACCATGTAAGCCGTGTTGTTTATAACTGGTTGTAGCCGGAAATTTTCGTCTATTCGGTAATAACCGGTTTCTTGTGTTCGTGGCTGCTGGCTGGATGATCTCAATCTAAATTTGAGATACTTAATCTAATTTCAATAAATAGCTTGATCGATTTGAAGATTTGTTAAAATAATATGGTTGGTACAAAACCGAAAATAAATGACCAATATTTCATAAATTTGATTTAAATTGAAAAGTTTCCGCCATTTTAAAGAGAGTGACGTTTAAAATGTGATTCAATTTTTTAAATAAATTTTTAGATAATACATAGAGCTTGGTGTACAATTTAAAAGTTCAAAAGTTTACCGGACGACTATTCCATGTGAAATTGATCCTGAATAATTATTTTTCAGCAGCTCTGTGAAGCAATTATTTAGGTAGATTAAAAAACAGGTTTTAATAGCTTATAGTTCTTAGCAGTTGCAGGAAAGGTTCCGTTAGGTCCAAATTGTTCTGGAAAAAAATGTAAACCCAAATTTCACACTTTAATAAATTAAAGACTCACCTAATATTATGTGAATAATAGATTTAATGCGATTAAACTGACCTTAACCCAAGATAAGAAGATTACAAACATTACAGTTTAAACCAGCACTTTGGAGATTTTAAAGAATTTATTAACGTCGTCTTCACATTTTTCAATTGTTTTTTTATCATTATACCTAAATCTCAGTAGTTTTGTAAATAGATACATAGCGATGAATACGCAGGAACAGTTTTGAAGAGCTCAATATAATTAATCATTTAAAAAACTAAATATTTGCATCATTCCATTATCAGTAAGTTAAGAATACAACATTTTATAAATTCTTTTGATGCATCTGAAGTTCTGGGTCTAACTGTAGAAAAAATGAATGCTGAAAAAACTAACCTAAACCTTGAAACTCTGATAGAGGACCGTCTTCCAACAGACCCAGTTCTAAATTAATTATTCAATATCAGCAAAGTTGGAAACAAGGTGTCAAAATAAACTTGAGAATTATATTTATACACAATATGCATTCTTGCATTTAATGTTGCTAATCTACATAACACACACTTAATGACTACAATGGCCATTTAAAATGACTTTTAAACAATTTTTTAAACTGACCTTCTATTTAAAAACTATTTTACTTCTTTTCAATATCAAGTTAAACTAATGCATTTACAATTGATATTGTATTTGTCTATATTATGCATTTAAAAGGTAAGAAATTTCGCATGAAGACAAAACGGGTGCGGAAACGTAGCCGCAAATCCATTTTGTGACATCATTTGTGGAAAGGAAGAAAAACGTTTGCATATATATATATCCATTGGGCTATTCTGCAACTTTACCTGTGGCGTCCTGTGTCACGTGATCCAAGAGGAAGTTCTATTCTGATTTTTCGGAGTTCCTCCTATACATTACTTTTTAATACAATATATAATGATAATATGTAAAATATATTTCTGTAATATGCATCATTTATGCATCACGTGAAATTACAGTAAATTACATATAAGATTGAAATCTTGTTTGTTTTTAATCAGAACCTCTATTGTTGCATGTTTGCTTTTTTCATGCTTGTGCATAAAATCGAAATGGGGGAGCTACGAGGTCACAAAGTCGTATCAGTAATGATGCATAAATTTCAAAGTGACCTAGTATTTCCAATTTAAAAAAGTTGAATATTTTATTTAGATCTGTATAAAGATATGATACCTGAACACTGGAGTGACATAATTCATCATATCGGATATTCTCCTTAACAAAATAGAATATTTGAATCCCGCCATACAATAAGTGATGGTCATCATTTCGCGGTTCGTTTTGAGACATTTGCAGATTTTTGACATTTAGAGTGCTCCACAAAAATTTGAGTTATCGTTATGAAAACAAGTACAGAGTGTTCTGATAAACAAGATAATTGAGACAAGTACAGAGTGTTCTGATAAACAAGATAATTGAGACAAGTACAGAGTGTTCTGATAAACAAGATAATTGAGACAAGTACAGGGTGTTCTGATAAACAAGATAAATGAGACAAATACAGGGTGTTCTGATAAACAAGATAAATGAGACAAGTACAAGGTGTTCTCACAAACAAGATAATTGAGATATACTTGAAATGAGAAATATGATTCTAAACAACAAATTAGTATAAAGACAAAAGAATTGAGTTTTTGCCACACACTCAAACCAAATCCCTATTTCTTTGCAACCTTATGTTATAAGTTACTTTATTTTTTCCAACATAGCTTGAGAATAAAAACAGAGTTTGTGGCAAAAACTCAATTCCTTTTGTTCCGTTTTACTTTCGGGTTATAAAATAATTGTTGAAAAACAGGTTTACGCTTTCACTTGGAATTTATACACCTTTAACCTTTTCATTTGAAACGAATCCGCCAAGAAAAAAGTCGTAAAGATAAAAGCAAAAAACTTATGATCAAAAGGACTGTACGGAGCTACAGAGCAAAGTTATAATGCAAGGAAAGTTAATTGCAGTTGTGTATACTCTGCGTGCATAATTGAAACCAGTTCTCTCTGGGGGGAATTTGTAAACAAGAATAGATGCATTAGTGTTCGTTTAGTATCCGAGGAGGTTAAAAGCATTAAATTTTGAAATTTTGATAATTTACATAATAGTTTCCTATGACCAGAATATTTCATCGATTTTTCATTTGAAAGATGGATCCCATGTCAGGCTTCGACATGCGTACAACTCTGAAATAACTTTCCTTGCAATATAACCTTAGTACAGAGTAATTTCTGAAAAGATGGCAATACCCAATTCACAGTGGTACTCTTAAGATCTTTTTCTGTTCAATACTGGGTTAAGATATCGTCGTTTTACAATTGATTGAAATATTATGCACTGCACCGTTGTCAATCTATCATAAATGTCAAATTGGGAACGAAAGTCAAAGGTTTTGACCGAACTGTTAACTCAGCGTGTAATACATGTTGGTGAATAGTTTCAGCGTATAATACATGTTGGTGAATAGTTTCTTCCATCGAAAGTCATAATAGAAAAATTGAAATATTAATCAAGTAAGATTTTTTTTTGTGTGAAATAAACTGCAAAAAGTGTTTAATATCTAATACAGTCTATGCAAGAATGCGTTCAAATCTATTCACCAACTGTCATGTTTTGTGGGACACCATGTATCATAAATTGAAATTTTTAACGGAAAAGTGAACATTTCAAATAAAAAAAGACAACTTAAAAATAAAATCCAATTGTACAATTTTCAGAAATATTTAACACAAAGCTACTTTTTTACTGAAAATACAAATAGAACAAAATTAAAAAAAAACCTTTCTCATATTGTCCCATCTTGGTTCCAAGCTCTTTCTTTGCATCAGCCTGAATATTTAAATAGTTAGAATAATTCTTTGTTTGTTTTATCATGTTTAAAAGAACTGTCAGCGTAATTTTAAGTAGGCTATGTCAGATTCACAAGGTACCCTTGAAACCTTAATTTGATCTTTTGCAGAGAAACCACGACAGTTGAAAATAATTAATTTTCAAAACTATAAACATTGACATGTTGTTCATACTAGATCAGAAAAAACTATAAACATTGACATGTAGTTCATGCTTGACCAGACAAAACTATAAACATTGACATGTTGTTCATACTTGACCAGACAAAACTATAAACATTGAAATGTTGTTCATACTTGACCAGACAAAACTATAAACATTGACATATAGTTCATACTTGATCAGACAAAACTATAAACATTGTCATGTAGTTCATACTTGATCAGACAAAACTATAAACATTGTCATGTAGTTCATACTTGACCAGACAAAACTATAAACATTGACATGTAGTTCATACTTGACCAGACAAAACTTTGAATAGTACCGCTGTGAATAGGACAATCTCAATTTTTAAAATACATTTATTCAAAGCGTAATGTTGTGAAACTTTTATTAAATGATATGTATTTAAAATAATATATAAAAATGTTGTAAATATAATTTAAACTGTTTTAAGAAATAAATATGTAAATCAAAATTAACTAGAAAAGTTTTAGAGTGTTTTATTATTTTTCTCAATAAATATCATTTAATATTTTTCCGAATATTTAATAAAACTTCTTATAATTTGTATTCAAAAACGAAGCTTTTATCATAAAGAATAATAATGATACTATTGTTACTGCTTAAATCTTAAAGAGACTGTCCCCGAAATTAAGTCTGCTTCTGCAAAAACGCCTTTTGGATGATATTTGGTCCCAAGCTTTAGGAGAGTTCTGTAAAATTTACATTATACCTCTACAAATTTAGCAACACTTCAAGCATCAAGCACTGCTTTAACAAAAATAAGCATACAGTTTCATTTTATGTGTTTTGTTTTAAATATGGTTTTTTATATGTTTTGTATTTTGATATGTTCTTTTATTTGTTTAGTAGGATAAAATTCAACCAATATGGTGGCATACACAGAATCCCGAACAGCCAATCAGAAGCTGGGACACTTGAAAATTTGTGCGCCATTACTCCACCGGAGAGATGCTAGAAACAACTCGGGACACTAATTACTCCACCGGAGGGATGCTAGAAACAATTCTGGACAATAATTAGTCCACCGGAGGGATGATAGAAATAACTCAGAACACTAATTACTTCACCGGAGGAATGCTATAAACAACTAGGACACAGGACGCTAAGTAATCTAATGGAGTAAAACTAAAAACAACTCAGGACACTAATTACCCTACTGGAGGGATGCTAGAAATAACTCGGGACACTAATTACTTTACTAGAGGGATGCTAGCAATAACTCAGAACACTAATTACTTCACCGGAGGGATGATAGAAACAAATCAGGACAATAAATAGTCCACCGGAGGGATGATACAAATAACTCAGAACACTAATTACTTCACCGGAGGGATGCTATTGACAACTCAGGACACTAAGTAATCTACTGGAGTAATGCTAGAAACAACACAGGACACTAATTACTCCACGGTCCGGAGGGATGGTAGAAACAATTCAGGACACTGATTACTCCACCAGAAGGATGCTAGTAATAAGTGAGGACACTATAATTACTCCATCGGAGGGAAACTAGAAACAATTTAGAACAATGGTCGATACGGTATAATCAACCATCTACCCTTAATAGATTTTAGATACCAGTAATTTTAGGTATAGAGAAATAAACGTCTATCAATCAATCAATCGTCTGACCTTAAATCTATTAGCACTTGCTCCTGCTCTCTCTAGCTTCCGGTCAACATCCTCCAATATCCTCTGCAGACTCTGTAAACATTCTTCACCTGGACAACACCAATATCTAAGGGACTGCATTAGACGTAATTAAAGAGTGGCATGTCAATTCCACAATGGAATCTCTTAAAGAGACTGTAAGCGTAATTTCAAGTGACCTTCCATTTATAGAGTGGCTTGTCCGATTTACAACAATACCCTTTAAACGTCTGTTTGATCTTGAGGATTTCATAGATATTCTTTTTTATATAGTGGGAAAAGTGCCAATTGAAACCACATAAGTGTACAATATCACGAAGTGTATACAGTGTACACTGAGCCCAAAACTTAAGACGGTATTGTTCTAAAAACCAGTTTTAAAACCCGGGTTTCGCGAATGGGGTTTGGCAATATGAATATTTTTGTTATGAAATGGTATTTTACTCAGTTTGTTTATATTCTCAATTTTTTTCGAATCTCTTAAATCAAAATCTACGCAAATGTTAAAACCCCAAAGACAAAACTCGGGAGTTTTGTCCAACGATACTCTTTTAAATTTCGGGCTCTGTAACCTTTAGTCTCCCGAGGCACTCAATCTTTAGCTATAAAAACGAGGGTATCTACCTCATCGTTGTCCAGACAAAGGTTTAAAGGGTACCGTTATGAATCAGACATGCCTGACTATAAATGGAAAGTCACTTAAAGTTATGCTTAAAGTCCCTTTAATTGCTTTGTCTGATATCATCCCATCAGAAAATTCTTATTTTCTTACTGAAAACTGAAAACTGAAAACTGAAAACTGAAAACTAAAAACTGAGTGCCGACTAATTTTAAACTTTTATAAAATGTATAGGTGAATTGCGTATAAAGTTATCAACAAGCACTTCTGCAGATAAAATAAGCAAGCACAAAATTTTCAGTTAGAAAAATAAGGACAACTCAGACATCCTTGATCAGACTTATTGTACCGTTGTGAATTGGACACGTCATTCTACGAGAGGAAATTACGCCTACACTTCCTTTAAAGAACTAATATCTAATTATCAACACTTACAAAACAATCTGATGTTAGGAATATGTCGAACAATTTATTAATTAAACACATTTCTGAAGATGTGCTTCTGCTTAATTGTTTTCACTTTTTAAGCATTGATTTAGTTTCAAACATAAAGTAACTGTTTAGTAAACTACTAATTTAACATTTACATGTTTGTTAATCATGTAATCATTAGGGAAAATCAAACAATATTTACCTTCAGTTAAGTCCAGCTTTAGAGCATTTAATTCTCTTGTATTCTCGTCTATTTGTGTCTCCAGGATCTCATTTTCTTCAAGCCCTTTTCTTAATCAATCAATCAAATAATCATTTAACACCAAAATAAAATGAAAATCAAATGAAAACCCTTTTTTATTTAAAGAACGTTATATTGCATTTTATTTTTAATTCAAGATATTTAGGCTTTAAGAAAACTTGAAGATAATAAAAATATGAATTATGTTAGACATCACAGATTTTTATGGAGTCTGTGCAAAAAACATCTTATATTGTTCAAGGATGGCTTCAATGTTCGATATCGTCCTTTAACATTATTGGGTTCTTTCTCAAATTTTGGGATCATCAAACATATTTTCCGTTCGGGGAACTGTTCATTATGATGATGCGGGGTGATAAAATATTTGAAAAATTTGATGGCTATTTGAAAGAAATTATCGGTCATCAGAACAAATGAACTGAGTTCCAGCGACCAACTCTTAATGTTCTAATCCATCTATGTATGGTAAAAATCTAAGCTGTAATAAAATATAAAATTCAGTGATGGTGATGGACCAAACCTCTGTAGAGTAAAAAAGTAGATGTTAGTTCCACATTTATTGAAAATATATTTCGGTCTGGGTTGACCCTCGTCAGTTCTTGAGATTGTTTCTTCACAAAGATTAAAAACAAAATATATTTTCGAGAAATGCGAAAAATTTGTCAAAACCATGAGTTTTATAGCTGCAACAATTAATTACTTAAAAAAACTTGTGGAATTCTCTGCTCTGATGGCTCAATATTTGAAGTTTTATTATGTCATATAAATAATTTCTCTTCCTTTACTTTAATAAATGTTTTATTTTTGCATTTTTTTTTAAAAATTCTGTATTTCTCGCCAGATTTTCGCATTTTGTCATGAAATTTTTGCATTATTTTTTGGCCAAATTTTCCCATTTTTTTTGAAATTTTCGCACTAGTTTTTCGCGAAATTCTCATATTTTTTTGCGAAACAGATTGAAGCGAAATTTTGCGCGCATTTTTTCGCGAGAGAACGAAATGCGAAAAGGAAGGGAAATGGTCGCGAATATTTTGTTTTGCAAAAAATGCTAAATTTTCGCGAAACGATTTTTCCTTTTCGCTGGAAACCCTAGTGTTGATGCAATTATTGATATTATGATAAGATTTGCATCCAAATATTTCTTCATCAAAGTAAACTGCATGCTTGTAAGATGGAATCCCAAATGATTTACATCAGAACTCTTTTTATTGAAGATAATTAGAGATATTACGAGGACAAATATGTGTTGCAGAGGAGCTACGAGGTCACAAAGTCGCTCAAATTAGACCTTCTCCTTCTGTCTAGTTAAAATGACTTACACCAATTTACATACAGGGTGTCCCACGAAACATGACAGTTGGTGGATGGTTTAAAATGTCTTCTTCCATAATTTGTTAAGTTGTTTGATACCAAAGAGAATATGGGAGTCATCTTAAAGTAAAATTGATTTCAAAGTAAAATATATTAAAGTCTTTATTATCTAATACAGTATATGGAAGAATACATTCAAAACAATTCACCAACTGTCATGTTTCGTGGGACACCCTGTAGTACAAACCATTTTCATAAAGATTCTAAATTTAATTTAAGATTTGACTTTTTAATAAAACATTATTAAATTTTTAAATCAATAAAAGACTTCTATATACCTACAGTATACACTTACTTGAACTTATCTTTGAGATGTTTTAGAAAATGTTTTCGTTTGTCTAGATCAGCTTGGAGACCAACTACCCTCTCATCATCCAACCCTTTGCTTCTGAGCACATAATTATGATAATTATTTATAAATATACAAGAAAGTTAAGGGAATTTTACTTTAACAAGGATTCCCAAGAACAAACATCCAGAGCAAGGAATGTTTTGTAGACAAAATATGTCAAGGGAACACGTGGTTGAGTAAAATTTAAAATTTCCCAAGACCGAATTGAATGAATTTGATCTGCTTACCGCCGGTTCAAATATAAATCACTGATTCAAATCCTTCTTTAATCTTTAACAATCTTGCATTGGCAGTTTAAATTTAAACTGGCAGTAGGTACTTCAGCAACACCGCTCAAATTCATAAAATTCGGTAACTGAAAAAGTACTTGTAAAATTCTTTATCGTCTTTTATAATGAAAACGCGCGATTGTTATCACGAAAACTTCGCTTGATTAAAAAGAGCTTAAGACGTAGATAGTATGTTGTTTAAAATTAATAAAGTTGGACTAAACAATAGAGGATATTAATATGTAAATTTTATCAACAATTTATTTGTTGGAAAAATTTATTTTAAGAAACTTTCTAGAAAAGAACAATAGAATATTTTTGATTGGTAGTTTTTGGAACTTTTTCTTCAAATGGAAGATGCCATCTTTAAAAGTAAAAGGGAATTGGGGATTGGGAATTGTTAAATGAGGAATCTACGAAATTGCGATATTTTTGCTACGCTTTGCTTATGTTTTGCGTAGCAAGGTTTTGCAAATGGAAACCCTAATTGCGTTAAAATAAATAGGTAATTAACAACATTCGACCAACAATTGATGAGGACAAACAACGATGAATAATGTTATAATGTTAATTAGTTAATCTATGAATCTTTTACGCAAACTCAAATTGTCAATCCCTGTATCTTTGCAACCTTTGATATTTCAAACTTAGACTATTTAATATAACAAAATTCTAAAATTTTGAAATATCAAAGGTTTACGATATCAGGTTGCAATGACATACAGCGTGTACCAATAAACATGAGATTTTAGGGACGACTTGAAAATCTTCTTCGATTTCTGATAACTGATTAATGACAAAGAGTGTATCAAAATAAAGACTGAACTTCAAAAATGTGGTCTGAAAGATTTGAAAGATTTCGTTTTTTATTCAATTCAATACATTAGAACCTGGATGAATTTCTTAATAACTCATTACGAAGGTGCAAATATGGTAAAGCTCATTTTGAAATGTTCAAGACTAGTAGTTTTAATTATTTACTGTTCAAACTGGAGAAAACCATAGTGATAACTAGAAAACTCTGGAATAGGAAGACGACTTTTAGTCTGATGAGCATGAGACACAGCAAATATGCATTGTAAACAGAACCATTTCGCTAAATTACTGATTTTATAAGTGTCATAGTAAAACTATTTGCTTTGTAACAACATCAAATGCTCTAAAGTATTGCTATAATGTTTTCTTATTCCAGTGTTTTCTGGTTATCGCTGTACAAAAATTGTGTTTACGTAATAATGACACGGTGAACCAAGACGACATAGAAGGACAGCCTGGAGGATTACAAAATTAAAGTTTGTGGCAAAAACTTTTTTGAATTTTCAATGAATTTTATCACCTTGTATTATCAAGCCTGTATTCTCCGTTAGAAGATTTCATGAGGCTCAAGGCTGTCTCTAGTTCTTCGTATTCTTTTTCTTCTTTCATTATCTTTCTTTGTAGAACCAAGGACTTATCCTAGATATTCGTTATTTATAAACAAGACATGACAAGACAAGACAAGACAAGACAAGACAAGACAAGACAAGACAAGACAAGACAAGACAAGACAAGACAAGAATTCTCTATTAAGAGCGACACTTGGAGAAAAATGTGAGTTTCTTCTATTTCTTGTTTATCTCTGATTTATGATGAGTAGTGTGTAAGAAGTTTGTTGGCAAGTATTCATCAAGACAGATTGTCTTCAATTTAGAACCAAAATTAGGTTTTCTATTCTTTTTTTTAATATCTGTTTCAACTTATTTCTTTTTCAGTACTTTTTTTCCGCCTTAAAATAAAATAGTTTATTACATAAAAACATGGATAAAAAATGAATGCAATGGTAGATTCACAAGAGTACCCTAAAATCTGTTTTTCTAGAATTCAAAGTGTTTAATTCTTTAAGTAAATTTTATATAGAAACCATAATAGAAAATAATCAGTTATCAAAGTTTACAGAAAGATCTTATGTTTTCATGATTTAGAGAACCGATGTGAATCAGACATTGCCTTCAAGTAGCGAGGGTCACTTGAAATCACGCGTATAGTCCCTTTCTAAAGTTTTTGTAACTGTAAGCAAATTGATAACAAATAGAGTGATGTAATAGAAATGATTAATGTCCTGAGCTGGGAACTATTGAATGGTGGATATCGGGATAAATGCTTGATCCACTCTTTTACTTAATCTCCGGTATGTTCTCCTCTTGTTATATATATCTCCAATTTAATTAACCAATCAATATTAAGGGTATAGCCCATTCTAAAATTTTCATCTCTGGAACCACATTTTGGTTTTTGATTTAGAATATAAATGTAAACTGAAGGCACCTTGTCTGAAAGCGAAAGCACTGTGAGTTTTATTTTCCCTGCCTAAAAGTTTTCTTTTCTTTCCTTTAAAAGATTAATAATCACGTCAAGATCATCCGTTGGTTGATAGATGGATGCTTTGCAGAATATAATTAAATATAATTATTAACTTCCGGTATATAAATTGTTTCAAAATTTGGGAGCTTTGTGCCTTTTCCAAGTCAGGCTCAAATTTATGTTGGTATCGTAGAAAAACAAAACAAAACATGTTGTACAGTTATACAACCCGAATCTTTAGTTAAAGTATAAAGCAGGCAAGAAACTGATTTTTCTTCTCAAACTCGAATTTTATAATTCTAATATCTACGCATATGGGTTCTCTTCAGGGTTTATACCTTGCACATATAGATTCAGTCTGTTGTTGCATCAATTTTACTAGACAGAAAATATATTTTTCTGACCCATTTCTTTACTTCAAGTTTAGTCGGAAAGCAACTGATTACTCGTCTAAATACTAAATGAAACGTAAAAAATTCTCTATAAATTTGCATTCTCAGCTCAACTACCATGTCTAGCCAGACACTCCCTTTAAACTCTAATATCCATGAGAAGACAACAAATATTTTTACTGCTCTATATTATCAAATTATAAATCAAGACAAGACAAGACAAGACAAGACAAGACAAGACAAGACAAGACAAGACAAGACAAGACAAGACAAGACAAGACAAGACAAGACACGACAAGACAAGACAATCAAGACACGACAAGACAAGACAAGACAAAACACGACAAGACACGACAAGACAAGACAAGACAAGACAAATTACCTTTAATTCTGCTTTTTCTTGAGCAAGTTTAACAAGAAAATGAGCATGCCCGGCAATATTTCCTTCTTCTTCTGAAAAAATCAAATCTTTAAAATTAAGATTAATAAATTAGTAATATTTTTTTACCTGCACCATGTCCTAGACTTTTCAGCACTGCATCATATTTTCCTTTAAGTTTTTCTTTTCTATTTTCTCGAATTCTGATTTGATATTTGACCTCATCTATCTCCTGCTTCAAATATCTAAAGAATTTAACACATTTTGAATAATCTTTTTATTTTAAAGGAACTGTAAGTGTAATTTCAAGTGACCCTCCATGCGCATATGCAATGATGGGAATGCTCGATTCACAACGGTACCCTAGCAACCTTTATCTGATAAAAAATGTAGAAGATATTGTAGTTTTTCTAAGTTTAAAAGTGTTTATTTCTGATAATTTCCAAATGTTTATCTGCAATAGATCATACTACTTGATCAGACAAAGATTTTAAAGGTACCGTTGTAAATCGGGTATTTCCATCTTTGCATGTAGGGCCTCACTTAAAATGAAATTTACCGACCAATAACACACCGTGAAAATATTCATTTTTATGTGAAATTTAGCAAAAAAAAAGACAAAAACAAAAGTTTCCAGTGTTAACATTTTTATATCCTTGACTACAGAAAATCGGGTTTACAAAGGTTAAAAAAAGGCAAAAACCAAGCAACACTACTAAGAAATTATCGTGTTTTTTTTTTAGTCTAACTCAAATTAATTAAAATCTTGAGCCCTTGAAATCTTTTAAAAAGTAACTTGTTGATTTATTGTTGGAAGTTTACAACAGAGTGTTTTCAAGATCGAGTATCAACTAGATATCCGTGTTATATGATTTGAAAACTGATTTTTTTTCAATTGTTACTGAAACAATGGAGAACTTATAAAAATTAAACACTTTTTAAGTCAGAATATGAAAATATCCCTTCACATTATTGATTAGATCAGGATTTAAGTCAGAATATAAAATTATCCCTTCACATTATTGATTAGATCAGGATTTAAGGGAACTGTTGTTATCCCCTTCATAACCTTTATCCCTTCTTGTGAAGGTTGACAGCATTTTAAAAAAATTAATGATTTGAAATTTTTCCAACATTTTCTAATAAAAAGTGTTTGCAAAATAATTTTCAAGACTGGATCGACTTTAAAATGTCGCAGCGTATTGTCTTTTCATTTTACCTTATTGACTCGCTAATATTTTTTGTTGGGTTTGCAATATTTGGATTACTGTATATAGAAAAACAAAAATTTAATATTTCACTTAAAAGAAGTGTGTCCATCCACGTGCGGAATTTCTTGTTTGTCGTAAAATCTTCAAACAGCTTTAAAATATTAAAATTCAACAAGGTCAATTGGTCTTATTTAAATAAAAAAGTAGGATGGGGGTTGCATATATTATTGCCCCCCCCCTATTTTTAACTTAAAGATTGATGATTCATACTCCTTTACAATCACAGGTTTATGGCGCACACAAGTTAAAAAAAAGATCGGCCTGGCTCTACCCAGGGCTGGGCGTTTTCCTGTTTTTTTTAAATCGTATACGTTCCTCGTTTTCTAATTGATTCCTGATAGAATGATTCTAGACCGTTCTTTTCAACCAATTACCGCTCGTTCCACGTTAGTTTTTAATAGATCGTTCCAATTTTTGTTCAGTTTTCGTTTTTTTTTCGAAACATTGGCATCGTTATTGATAATTCCGTTCGTTCCGTGAAAGAACGATCGTTCCCTGAGAACGGCGCCCAGCCCTATCTCTACCAGATACTCTTCAAAGTCTAAACTAAGCTTTTGGCGGTTACTGCAATGACCTGCGGCACTCCTATAGATGTAAATAGCCCCAAAATCAAAATTGGGGTTATTTCCGTGCGTTATCTTGCTTTTTAAATTACACCAATACGCGGCACTCTGACCGTAAAATAATGGGGTTTAGTGGAGAGTTTAAAACCAGCAATTGAAATAGAAATATAACCGACATGTTTAATGAAAAAGTAAAATTAGAGCTAGGGTAGTAGTAAACAGTAATCCATATGTTAGATTTAAAGATTTAAAGATCTAGTCATCACTAAATGCATCGATTTTATTTAGTGAAACTTTTCCTCCCCCCCCCCTCCCTCTTAGCAGGGATAGGGTAGGGTTAAAGACAAGAAGTTTACAAATTTACCTGATTTGGCTCAGATACATATCCCTTCACAAAGTTCAAATATTTAATTAACGGGAAACTTATTTTGAAACATTTTGACTGAAATAACAGCCCGAATGTTAGGGTTTAAAATTCTTGACAATCTGTTCATATAATTTCGTGCAAAATATTCACAATTTTCTAAAAATTTTCCTGACAATCTGTTTATATATGTTCGTGCAAAATATTTACAATTTTCTAAAATTTTCAGTAATTAAATATTCATCAATTGTTACTGAAAATTGCCATATGAAAATAAATATAATAAACCCGCCTACTTTATTAAATCTTGCAACTAATCATGAACGTTATATTTCCAGGTGTATAATTATACTGGTTTTCCTGATATAATTATTATAATGAAGAGTGCAGTTTCATGCAAGTTGAGAGACGACTTAAAGGTCGTCTTTTTCCTTAGAAATAATGGATGGTGTATTTTTCGACCTACGTAAATCCGCTATACTCCACTTCTGACCTACGCCAAATCCGCTATACTACACATCAGACCTTCTAGCACGTGGTTTTACAGCTGCTACATGGACTTGTGGCCACAGCGACCGGCCCCCTAGCCTGTCCTAGCCGCAGCGCTCGTCCCCCTAGCATGTTCTAGCCGCAGCGCTCGGCCCAGAAATTGTCTTAACCTAACCTAAACCTCAAATAATGCAAAAATAAGCAGCTGGCGTAGGTCCAATATTGCAGTAGGTCGGAAAGTTAGTAGGTCAGAAGTTCAGTAGGGGGGATGTTGCGTATAGACGATGTAACATTACCAATTATAATGGCATTTAATTGACCTCTTGACCTCTTTAGTTGACCTCTTTTAAGTAAGATTCCTGAAACAATAATCATTGAATATCCCTAGTCTTAGCATTTCAGAAATCACTGACTAAAAAACCTCAAAAAATGGCAGTGAGAGGTTTCGTGAATATAGAAAATATCTACCCTTTCTTGACAATCTCTCTCTTCCTTAGTATAAGATGCTTTGCAGACGGGTACTTCAATTGAAAAAGAGTTTTTAAAAGGTCGTCTTTATTTTTTTAAAATTTGTTTTTTTACTATACCATGTAAATATTTCTTATTCAAATTTAGTACCGTCTGCAAAGCATGTATAATCATATGGTAGGGCGGGCCTGGTCGATTCAATCTCCTTTATATATTCTATGCTACTTGCTTCACATCCAATTGCTTAGCCATTTTTGAGGATATTTTGGAGGTATTTAGAACATTTAGGATCAAACTAAACGTATATCTATTCATATCTGCTATGATTGAATTTCTTTTAAAATGAAAGACTTCTGGAAACTGAAACTGACATTGTTTCTTATGACACTAATCTAATATTTGAATTCCTGGCAGATTGCAGAGTTAATATCGCCTCTTTACCCCTCTCTTCCTCATCCAAGAGTTCTTTTTTACCTCTTAAAATCTCTTCCTTCAAACCTCTCACTTCTTCGTCAATCTAAGATAATATGAAATTATTATATATTGACCCTTAAATTGTTATTGATGGAGATATTCTCATTTTCTAGCTTAAAATCAGGTGTCGTGAAACTTTATTGTACAACTGTTGAGTTTCCCAGCTTCATGGATCCAGACTGATAAAAAAAATTGCATACATTTTCAAGACTGGGTTGAGTTTGAATTGTCTCAACGCCTTGGCCTTGGATTTGACTTTAACCCAATAATTTTTGTAGCCCCGAAGATATAGATTTTAGAACTTTTTGTTCTAAATAATGTATTGTCCAATTTCTCATAATTTATTTGTTTGAGATCTTGCAACCTTTAGATCACATTCAAGTTTGAAGATCCTTGAGCATACTTTAAGGGCACAGTTGTACCTCAGAAAATTCTATAAATTGAGGGTCACTTGAAATTACGCCTACAGTCCCTTTAAACGCTGAACTTCACCTATTTTTACCTTTATTTGAGTGACAGTGAGTAATTTTTCTTCCACTAGGATCTCGGCAATATCATTTTTCAAGCCAGCAACAAGACGGTTGGAAGTCTCCATTTCTAGAAAAGAAAAGACTTTTGTTCTGGATGGACCCCAGACAACTGCAGGGAATAAGAAGATGAAAATTCACTCCAGTTATAATACAAAAACCCATTTTACTAATAATATAACTGATAAATCATTTGCTTTATAACAACATCAAGTACACATAAGATTAATTTAATGTCGTCTTCCTATTCCAAGGTTTTACTGACTGTTTTCTCAACTTTAATTTTGAACCTAGTAAATATCTCGAACTTTGAATAAAATTTCAGAAAAGCTGAATCAAAATTAATCAGTAAGAATCACTGTAAAAAAACATAACCGCTATAAAACCAGGAATAATTAAGAAACTTTATCGACCTGCTTTTAAATAATTTGAGTAAAACTGATCATAAAACTATGTATGTTTTTGAAATGGGTATCACGCGTGCAAAAGAGTTTTTGCTGTGATTTTAAATTTTTCTATTGTTTTTTTTTCGATCAAAATAAAAATCCCGGCAACAACTTTTTCGCACTTAATAATAACCATTACAATGACAATGACATAAATCGATATTTACATGATGTAAGAATACACCTGGAATAAACTCTTTGGGTTTTTGGAGTTTTTAACCTCTTTTATTGTATTCCATTTCCAAGTTTGTTTCATATTGTTAGAATATTATTCAAACTTAGCTTCAAAATAAAACAATCTTGCTCTTCTGATAACTGATCTATAATGGTGTTTGTATTCCTAAATTTGGTAAGGCGTTTTAATTTTTTTAAACTCGAGTTTATTTTTGGATTTTCTAAATAATAAAACCTTGAAGATATTTTCTTAATATTCACATTTTAAATATTTACTTTGCAAAAAATAAAACACTAAAGGACAATTTATGAGTTTATAAGTCACCTTCCCTTGATGATCATCATTAAAATTGCCCCCAAAAAAACTTAAAAGATTAGTTTTCGTGGTTTCACATTTATCTGGCGTTCACTGTAGCACCATTTAATAATTAGTTGTTTTCCTACCTAATTCAGTTCTCCCAATATCCTCATTTTTCTTGATTCCAGATTCCTTGATTCTCTCCAGTTCTTTAGTTTTCCAGCCTAATCCAACCTGAAGTATTTTTTTCGATTATATTAACATTATACTTCCAGGGGTTCAGAGCTACAACATTAATCCTCTAAACTTCCAGGGGTGCAGAGCTACAACATTAATCCTCTAAACTTTCAGGGGTGCAGAGCTGCAACATTAATCCTCTAAACTTCTAGGGGTGCAGAGCTACAACATTAATCCTCTAAACTTCCAGGGGTGCAGAGCTACAACATTAATCCTCTAAACTTCTAGGGGTGCAGAGCTACAACATTAATCCTCTAAACTTCCAGGGGTGCAGAGCTACAACATTAATCCTCTAAACTTTCAGGGGTGCAGAGCTGCAACATTAA